AGTAAACTGAGTTGGATGTAAGAGGCAGCTTTCACATTTACATCACATCTTGTCCTGAAGGGAGTCTGGTTTAGAACAGTTTCCAGTAAACTGAGTTGGATGTGAGAGGCAGCTTTCACATTTACATCACATCTTGTCCTGAAGGGAGTCTGGCTTACAACAGTTACCAGTAAACTGAGTTGGATGTGAGAGGCAGCTTTCACATTTACATCACATCTTGTCCTGAAGGGAGTCTGGCTTAGAACAGTTACCAGTAAACTGAGTTGGATGTGAGAGGCAGCTTTCACATTTACATCACATCTTGTCCTGAAGGGAGTCTGGCTTACAACAGTTACCAGTAAACTGAGTTGGATGTGAGAGGCAGCTTTCACATTTACATCACATCTTGTCCTTAAGGGAGTCTGGCTTAGAACAGTTACCAGTAAACTGAGTTGGATGTGAGAGGCAGCTTTCACATTTACATCACATCTTGTCCTGAAGGGAGTCTGGCTTAGAACAGTTACCAGTAAACTGAGTTGGATGTGAGAGGCAGCTTTCACATTTACATCACATCTTGTCCTGAAGGGAGTCTGGCTTACAACAGTTACAAGTAAACTGAGTTGGATGTGAGAGGCAGCTTTCACATTTACATCACATCTTGTCCTGAAGGGAGTCTGGCTTACAACAGTTACAAGTAAACTGAGTTGGATGTGAGAGGCAGCTTTCACATTCACATCACATCTTGTCCTGAAGGGAGTCTGGCTTACAACAGTTACCAGTAAACTGAGTTGGATGTGAGAGACAGCTTTCACATTTACATCACATCTTGTCCTGAAGGGAGTCTGGCTTAGAACAGTTACCAGTAAACTGAGTTGGATGTGAGAGGCAGCTTTCACATTCACATCACATCTTGTCCTGAAGGGAGTCTGGCTTAGAACAGTTACCAGTAAACTGAGTTGGATGTGAGAGACAGCTTTCACATTTACATCACATCTTGTCCTGAAGGGAGTCTGGCTTAGAACAGTTACCAGTAAACTGAGTTGGATGTAAGAGGCAGCTTTCACATTTACATCACATCTTGTCCTGAAGGGAGTCTGGCTTAGAACAGTTACCAGTAAACTGAGTTGGATGTGAGAGGCAGCTTTCACATTCACATCACATCTTGTCCTGAAGGGAGTCTGGCTTACAACAGTTACCAGTAAACTGAGTTGGATGTGAGAGGCAGCTTTCACATTTACATCACATCTTGTCCTGAAGGGAGTCTGGCTTAGAACAGTTACCAGTAAACTGAGTTGGATGTGAGAGGCAGCTTTCACATTCACATCACATCTTGTCCTGAAGGGAGTCTGGCTTACAACAGTTACCAGTAAACTGAGTTGGATGTGAGAGGCAGCTTTCACATTTACATCACATCTTGTCCTGAAGGGAGTCTGGCTTAGAACAGTTACCAGTAAACTGAGTTGGATGTGAGAGGCAGCTTTCACATTTACATCACATCTTGTCCTGAAGGGAGTCTGGCTTAGAACAGTTACCAGTAAACTGAGTTGGATGTGAGAGACAGCTTTCACATTTACATCACATCTTGTCCTGAAGGGAGTCTGGCTTACAACAGTTACCAGTAAACTGAGTTGGATGTGAGAGGCAGCTTTCACATTTACATCACATCTTGTCCTGAAGGGAGTCTGGCTTAGAACAGTTACCAGTAAACTGAGTTGGATGTGAGAGGCAGCTTTCACATTTACATCACATCTTGTCCTGAAGGGAGTCTGGCTTAGAACAGTTTCCAGTAAACTGAGTTGGATGTGAGAGGCAGCTTTCACATTTACATCACATCTTGTCCTGAAGGGAGTCTGGCTTACAACAGTTACCAGTAAACTGAGTTGGATGTGAGAGGCAGCTTTCACATTTACATCACATCTTGTCCTGAAGGGAGTCTGGCTTAGAACAGTTTCCAGTAAACTGAGTTGGATGTGAGAGGCAGCTTTCACATTTACATCACATCTTGTCCTGAAGGGAGTCTGGCTTAGAACAGTTTCCAGTAAACTGAGTTGGATGTGAGAGGCAGCTTTCACATTTACATCACATCTTGTCCTGAAGGGAGTCTGGCTTAGAACAGTTACCAGTAAACTGAGTTGGATGTAAGAGGCAGCTTTCACATTTACATCACATCTTGTCCTGAAGGGAGTCTGGCTTACAACAGTTACCAGTAAACTGAGTTGGATGTGAGAGGCAGCTTTCACATTTACATCACATCTTGTCCTGAAGGGAGTCTGGCTTACAACAGTTACCAGTAAACTGAGTTGGATGTGAGAGGCAGCTTTCACATTTACATCACATCTTGTCCTGAAGGGAGTCTGGCTTACAACAGTTACAAGTAAACTGAGTTGGATGTGAGAGGCAGCTTTCACATTCACATCACATCTTGTCCTGAAGGGAGTCTGGCTTAGAACAGTTACCAGTAAACTGAGTTGGATGTGAGAGACAGCTTTCACATTTACATCACATCTTGTCCTGAAGGGAGTCTGGCTTACAACAGTTACCAGTAAACTGAGTTGGATGTAAGAGGCAGCTTTCACATTTACATCACATCTTGTCCTGAAGGGAGTCTGGCTTAGAACAGTTACCAGTAAACTGAGTTGGATGTGAGAGGCAGCTTTCACATTCACATCACATCTTGTCCTGAAGGGAGTCTGGCTTACAACAGTTACCAGTAAACTGAGTTGGATGTGAGAGGCAGCTTTCACATTGACATCACATCTTGTCCTGAAGGGAGTCTGGCTTAGAACAGTTACCAGTAAACTGAGTTGGATGTGAGAGACAGCTTTCACATTTACATCACATCTTGTCCTGAAGGGAGTCTGGCTTAGAACAGTTACCAGTAAACTGAGTTGGATGTGAGAGGCAGCTTTCACATTCACATCACATCTTGTCCTGAAGAGAGTCTGGCTTAGAACAGTTACCAGTAAACTGAGTTGGATGTAAGAGGCAGCTTTCACATTTACATCACATCTTGACCTGAAGGGAGTCTGGCTTAGAACAGTTACCAGTAAACTGAGTTGGATGTGAGAGGCAGCTTTCACATTTACATCACATCTTGTCCTGAAGGGAGTCTGGCTTAGAACAGTTACCAGTAAACTGAGTTGGATGTGAGAGGCAGCTTTCACATTTACATCACATCTTGTCCTGAAGGGAGTCTGGCTTAGAACAGTTACCAGTAAACTGAGTTGGATGTGAGAGGCAGCTTTCACATTTACATCACATCTTGTCCTGAAGGGAGTCTGGCTTACAACAGTTACCAGTAAACTGAGTTGGATGTGAGAGGCAGCTTTCACATTTACATCACATCTTGTCCTGAAGGGAGTCTGGCTTAGAACAGTTACCAGTAAACTGAGTTGGATGTGAGAGGCAGCTTTCACATTTACATCACATCTTGTCCTGAAGGGAGTCTGGCTTAGAACAGTTACCAGTAAACTGAGTTGGATGTGAGAGGCAGCTTTCACATTTACATCACATCTTGTCCTGAAGGGAGTCTGGCTTAGAACAGTTACCAGTAAACTGAGTTGGATGTGAGAGGCAGCTTTCACATTTACATCACATCTTGTCCTGAAGGGAGTCTGGCTTAGAACAGTTACCAGTAAACTGAGTTGGATGTGAGAGGCAGCTTTCACATTTACATCACATCTTGTCCTGAAGGGAGTCTGGCTTACAACAGTTACCAGTAAACTGAGTTGGATGTGAGAGACAGCTTTCACATTTACATCACATCTTGTCCTGAAGGGAGTCTGGCTTAGAACAGTTACCAGTAAACTGAGTTGGATGTAAGAGGCAGCTTTCACATTTACATCACATCTTGTCCTGAAGGGAGTCTGGCTTAGAACAGTTACCAGTAAACTGAGTTGGATGTAAGAGGCAGCTAAACGGATTAGGTGGTCCAACTCAGTGGCTTGATTGATTGTGTATCATTGAACACTTATTGAACCCTTGAAGATCCGGACAGAATTGATCTTCACCAACCAATTCTTGCCATAAAAGGTGACTATGCTTGTTGTAAGAGGCGACTAACAGGATCAGGTGGTCAGGCTTGCAGTGACATTTGTCATGCACGATCTGCTGTGTAGTATTGCTGACATAAGAGTTGTGTGAGGGGTATCAACCAGTACAACTTGTGAGTTCAAGAACGGGACTGTCCTGTATTGGCCGATTCACTAAGGAAAGAATTGGAATAGCTAACTTATACCCTACTCTGGATAAGTAACCACATGTTTAACTTTTATTCCATTTAATGTGATGTTTAGTTTCACAACTGATAAAAACAACTGAAACATATTCACACAAAAATTTCCCATGCATTTTCCTCTCCTCATCCCTGTTAGTATCTTGGGTGGAAATGTTGACATATGTCTAGAATTATATTTTATTTCATGTCCAGAAGTCATTTCTGGAAATGCCGCCTCCGTGGTCTTGTGGTAGAGCGTCCACCCGGAGAGCGGAAGGTCCGGGGTTCGATCCCCGGCCGCGTCATACCAAAAGACGTTAAAAGATGGTACTTGTTGTTACCCTGTCTGGCGCTCGACATTAAGGGGCTAAAACAAGGACTGGTCGGCTCAGAGTCAGTATACTGTGTCTGAGTGGGGTATTCATGTTAACTGTGGCATGGTATCTCAGTGAGCTAGCACTATAAATCAGCATCAGTCCGGACTAGTACAAGCAGCCACACACACACACGTGCATGCACGTCGCTATATAAGTGCAATAATCTTGGACGCGACGTTAAACCCAATTTCACCTCACCTCACCATTTCTGGAAATAAATGAGTAATGGCTAAAACACCCATGATTGAAAGAAAAGAAACTCTGGCAATGAGATTTCGAGTGGGAATAATGTCAATAAACACCATTTACTCCTCGCTTCAAGGATTCTGGAATCAGCCAGCGTTGGCCCACTTTGTATGTGCCTTTGTTTGTTAATTGTTATCAGTTCATATTCAAGAGACAAACAATAAGAAAAGTGTCATTTCCAGGGAGAGAGAGGAAGTTGCCGGATTGCTCCAAGGGGCAGCACAGGAAGCACAGGAAGCCCATAGTCATGGATGATCTCGAGACCACCTCGGAGAACACGTCAGACCTCGCCTCGTACAGCGACGATGAGAAGAAGGATGATGCAACCTATGACTTCCGGTAGAGGAAACATCCACCGAGAGTTCCACTGATTGATTAAACAGCCACACGGTGTCAACACGAGGCATCCACTGAGATCTACATTAAGTGTTTTAACAGCCACACACTGTCAACATGAGACATCCACTGAGATCTACATTAAGTGTTTTAACAGCCACACACTGTCAACATGAGACATTGACTAAGATCTCCACTGATTGTTTTACAACAGGAGGTATCGCAGATGACTCATCAGGTGGTCACGCTCCATGACTTTGGCTAATAGTGTGTCATCATATCCCAGCAGTGTTGCTCATGATGTCAACCGCCGGTTTGTCTGGTCCAGACTCGATTATTTACAGATCACCGTCATATAGCTGTATATATGACTACAACCAAAGACTATTCATTTACTGCATGTATATATGACTTGGAATTTTCCCCATGTGGACAGATTTTCTCCTTTCTCTTGTCATGTTTTGATCTGTTTGAGATGAGCAGAAAGACATTCTGTTTGGTAGAAAGTGCATACGAAAGTGCATAATTCCCTCCTTTGTCCTTGAAACATGATTGTGATATTGAGTATCGGTATTGTTGTGCAATGGCAGTATATATCTGTGCAGTTGGCCAGGTTTGTTCGAGTCTGGTGTAAACACTTCCTGTTTCAGGTCAGGCCAGGCCACACATTTCTCATTTTTCGTTTCACGGGCCTCACCCCTATTGAAAACTATCCAGTCCAGAAAAAAAGTAAACATAAAAATATTTATTTTTGTTATGTTTCCCGCTAGTAATATAGACCCTCTTATATAATATGAAATTATATACTGTAAATCTTGAAATTATCGCAAGCGTGAATTAAATGCGATAAATGCGAGTTGTCTTTGCTTGCATTATTAAACATCGCATTTATATCAACAATAAGACATTTTGGGTAGCAGAAATACCAACTTAGATTTAAGCTGAAAACAAATAACTATGTATTCCTCATCGCTATTTATTGAGCAGCTAACTGACTGACTGATATAGGAGATTTAACGTGCGCTTTCCGACTGTAGCGTATTTCGCACACGATTGAGCAGCACTTGTAACAAGTATATAAACAATGTCATTCAAACACTAATTACATCCTGTGAATTGTCACTGCTGGGGTCAAGACAAGCGTTCTACTCACTCATGTCATCACTGATCACACCTGCAAGTCCAGACAGACGCCACCCACGCTAACACGGTGCCATTGTTCTTTGCGACTGCGTCAAAGGCCGACACGAGCCAGCGCGCATGTATTGTTTTAACGGAAGTACTCTACTCAGCACTAATAAGCGGTGCTATTTGGTGTGTGATTAGATTAATGTAAGGTTGGAGTAAGGTGAGGATTCTCCTGTGTTTTGTTTAGATATTAATCCACTGATGCTTGAGAGGGGGGGGGGGTCACATTCATATTGAGTCACATTTTTGGCTAGGGGCAAGCGGTCGCATTCTTTTGGAGACGCATTAATTTCACGATTTACAGTATATTAATTCCATGTCAACATCACTATCAGTGAATCAAGAGGCAGATTAAACTCTACAGCAGAATGAATTTCATATCAATAAATAAATAAATAATTGACGTAGCTATTCATTTTTAGTTTTATTTTGACCCACCTTGTGTGGAAAAGCTGCAATAAGTCCGTGAAACATGAAATTAAGAAAGTGTGGCCTCGGTAAACATCGGAGTAATCGTTGTGATGGATCTCTCCAACAGGTGTGATTATTGCAATTTGTCAGGCTTTAACTTAGTGTTATGCTGTATTCACAACATACCTGTGTAATATTAGATATAATAAACTGTTTCTGTTCCATAAATACAGATTGCATTTTCTTTATGATAAAGTTTTATAGGATAATTTTATTTTGCACTTTGACTTTATTTTATGTCAAGCAGGTTTCATTGTTCTACTTGATTGTTAATTCAGCTGTTAACACCTGTATATTAATTCAGATATTAACACCTGTATATTAATTTAGATATTAACACCTGTTCAAGGAAGACAAATATGATAAACCACTAGACATACAGCAGTGGAATGAAGGCCTGTCATTTTCTGTTTGTACTTGACCGGCTGTCTAGTTAGTTTAATATATACTGAGTTAACTTATTGATTCAAGCTTGGAGTTCCTATATTCTCTCAGTCTGATGTTACAGTTCAGGTGCTAGTACCAGGTGCTTGATGAAGGTACACGAACATGTACCGAGACATTCCATTGAAAGGTGTGAGGTGGGATAGCCTCGTGGTCAGAGCTTACGCTCGTCACGCCAAAGACCCAGATTCGATTCCCCACATGGGTACAATATGTGAAGCCCATTTCTGGTGTCCCCCCGCCATGATATTGCTGGAATATTGCTTAAACCATACTCACTCAATCCCATTGAAAGAATAAAAAAGTTTGAATCCTTAAGTTAGCCCTGTCTTCATTGTCTTCACAGCTTCTAAAATGCCACTTAAAGATATTGTTTGTTTAGTGTTGTGTTTCTTATTTTTATGTATTTGTTTACTTTGAGTCTTTCAAAACTATTTGCAGGCAGTTTTTTCTGTTTACTCAGCTGGATATTAGCTCAGCTGTTATATGACTCATATCATGGATTTTGTGTGTACATATTTCCATGACCCGTGAAGATCAGGGGTAGAATAGGTCTTCAGCAACCCATGCTTGCCGTAAGAGGCGACTATGCTTGTCGTGAGAGACGACTAACGGTGTCGGGTGGTCAGGCTCGCTGACTTTGTTGATGCATGTCATCGTATCCCAATTACGTGGATCGATGCTCATGATGTCAATCACTGGATTGTCTTGTCCAGACTATATTATTAACAGACCGCTGTCACTTAGCTGGGATGTTGCTGAGTGCGGCTTTAAACAACAAACAAACATATTTCCTTGTGAGTTGATATGCATATAGTTATATACTTGGAAGCATTAAAAATGTATCCTGAGGTTCATATCAAGCTATATTAAGTTACACTTTGGGCATTTGGTTGTACACAACGCCCAGTCCAGAACATTCGTCTTGGAACACGAGCAGGAACAGGAACATTGCAACGTGTCATGGACTGGGTCCCCTTCTCTCAGTATTGTGTGTGCCTCAGGAAGTGTCAAGTTATTGATGTGAAAGAATGTCTGATGAAAGAGATTTATGTTTACATCTTGACCACCTGCTGCCTCCTTGGTTTAGTGGAAAGTGAGTCTGCCTGGATAGTGGGTTTGATCCCCGGCCGTGTGATACCAAAAGACACTAAAAGATGGTACTTGTTCTTACCTTGCCTGGCACTCGGAATTATGTGCGAGTGGAAGGTCATGGGTTTGATCCCTGACTGTGTGATACCTAAAGACGTTAAAAGATGGTACTTGTTCTTACCTTGCCTGGCGCTCGGAATTATGTGCGAGTGAAAGGTCATGGGTTTGATCCCCGGACATGTGATACCAAAAGACGTTAACAGATGGCACTTGTTCTTACCCTGCCTGGCACTCAGCATTATGGGGCTAAAACAAGGACTGGTTGGCTCGGAGTTCGTATACTGTGTCTGAGTGGGGTATTCATGTTAAACTGCGGCATGGTATCTCAGTGAGCTAGCACTTTAAATCAGCATCAGTCCGGACTAGTACAGGCAGCCACACACATGTGCATGCACGTCGATATGTAAGTGCAATAATCGTGGACACGACGTTAAACCCCATTTCACCTCACCTCACCTAATATGTTGGAGATCCTGTATTATTTACAGCAAGTTTGTGAGGATTCCATTATTGTAGACCTTGCTTGTGATGAGATGGTTTCAAGTAAAATGAAATGTTTACATATTCAGTAGCAGGGCTAGCAGTATAAAATAAGTCCAGACTAGTACAAGGAGCCACAAGGATTTAAGTGATTGGTTGGTCAACCTAGGTGACTGGGTTGATTGGTGGCTGCAATAACTAACAGGCCCTATAATATATTAGTGCTCGCTCAATTGCCCAGAATGTCTCCATTCTTTTATCTGAATCATGTTAGAAGCTAGCAGGAGTTGAGTGTTTTCAGATAGGTATCCAGGTATAAAGGTATATATAGGTATCAGCACGTGGCAAGTAGATGAGTCACAAGTCAGATCATAAAAGGCCTCGCATCATCCTCTTGTCACTCTTACATAGCTAGTCACCTTCTAGAAATTGTCACATCACGAAACAAATGATCAAGCTTGCTATGGTTGTTTACAACCAAGGGAGGTCACTCTCATTCACATTGCAGCATTCGACCTTTTACAAGCATTTCACCCATTTTCTGCCATGTTGGTGGCCAAATTCGACTTAAACCTTTCATTGGAGACCTCAATTTATCTGCTGCTACCACTTGGCTACCTGAAAAAACATAACTGGCAACAGTATCTGTTTAAGACATCTGTTGGCTCCTATAAACTTAGGTTTGGCTCATGAAATAGTCATGTTCCCTAACAAACAAACAAAAAACTTCGAGGGCTGCACTGCCACCTGACTTCCACTGTTGATCTCATCATATGTATGATTTAGTATGTCAGAGAGACCACCTCCGTGGTCTAGTTGTAGAGCGTCCGCCCGGAGAGCGGAAGGTCCGGGGTTTGATCCCCGACAGCATCATACCAAAAGACTTTAAAAGATGGTACTTGTTGTTACCCTGTCTGGCGCTCGGCATTGAGGGAACTAAAACAAGGACTAGTCCGCTCGGAGTCAGTATACTGTGTCTGAGTTGGGTATTCATGTTAAACTGTGGCATGGTATCTCAGTGAGCTAGCACTTTAAATCAGCATCAGTCCGGACTAGTACAAGCAGCCACACACACGTGCATGCATGTCGATATGTAAGTGCAATAATCGTGGACACGACGTTAAACCCCATTTCACCTCACCTCACCTAATATGTTGGAGATCCTGTATTATTTACAGCAAGTTTGTGAGGATTTCATTATTGTAGACCTTGCTTGTGATGAGATGGTTTCAAGTAAAATGAAATGTTTACATATTTCTGTTTTTCAAGATATTTAAAAGCTTGCTCAGAGATAATAAAAAGTGATCTCACCTGCAGAATTATCTCCCTTAGTTTTTACACTTCATCCATCAGCTTGACGAGTCATAGTGTAAGTAATGGACATCATGTTTATTCCTGTATTCCTGTAAGATTATTCTTTGTTTTACCATTTGTTTGATCCATGACCATATTTCTTGATTTGTGTTCTTTACTTTTTACTGAAATTTGAAGGGGCGGTCGGGTAGCCTAGTGGTTAACCTCTTGGTTAAAGCGTTCGCTCGTCACACCGAAGACCCGGTTTCGATTCCCGACATGGATGTAATGGGTGAAGCCCATTTCTGGTGTCCCCTGCCGTGACATTGCTGGAATATTGTTAAGAGTGGCATAAAACCATACTCACTCACTACTGAAATTTGGAGACACAGAATTGGTCAACATGTTTAATGGGAACATTTGATAATTGTTCAGCCTTGTCAAGTGAATTACAACTTTGACGTTCCACTTTGCTGAAAGTATAAATATCACTTTGTCTGTGATTGTCTGAATTGCTTTTCTGAGTGCTGGATTGAGAACATTAAACATGTACGTGTATATATTGTAATATCTTTGATTTTTTATATATTTTATTTTATGTCCTTTGTGTTACAGTTTTAACATGATTGTGATATGTTGATAATGGACTCAGTATATAAATGATATCTCAAAATATGATACATGTATATGTTTTTGTGGCTATATTGGTTTGATGGTAAATCTTTTATTCAGTTGAATTCCTTGTGTAACTAATCTAGCCTACTGTGATGAAAAGTATTAGTCATACATTCAGCAATGTAAGTGGAGGGTCAAATTTTGAATTCACGTGACAATCAGACAAGGATTTGCACCAGTATTTAAATAAATACAAAGGTGTTTTGAGTGGTTTATGTCATTAGTGTTGACATGTAATGTAAAAGCTGAGTTTGAAATGCCACTCACTCCGCAACTATCCCTGGATCTGCCACTGTTCCTGAGATTAATAATTTGAGGAACCCAACCGTTCCAATTTTGACATTGTACAAAGATGTACAGACATATTTGGTTATATATTCATGTTTTGTATAAAATCATA